CAGGCCTCATCTGCCGTGTCCCAAGGAGCTCCTCCATTCCCAATCTGCCAATTCCATGCAAACTCTGCCCTGTGGTCATCTCCCTCGTCACTGACTCGCTTGAAGGTTGTGGGGTATGGTGTTGAATTCGCTCAACGAGGCTCCTGGGGCAGGTTGCACGATTTGAGCGGGAGCCCTAGACGAAGCATCAGGGCCTGATTCGAGAGTCCCATCCAGTAGAGCAGTGACTTGCTCTGGCCCACCACAAACGCCGAGTTCACGCTGCCCTCGGGCCCTTGCTCGTACTCTGGCTTCAGCGGTTTGCTCCAGTTCCACCGTGTACCGTGTAAAGGGGCATCTTGTTGGTCGTTTGCTCATTGTCGAGGGCATCCAAAAGGGCCCCATAGGCTTCACGAAGAGAGATTCAGTTTGCTCCAAACCTGCGGACCACATCATCGAGCTGTTGGAGGGTGACTGCACTTGTCGATGACTCGGGGCGTTCAGTGGGTCCGGTCGCTGCGACTTCATCATGCGACATATGTTGAGTAACTCAGCACTCTGACCGTAAGATGATCGAGATCAAGGTTATGCGTGAGACAGGACTAAGAATCAGGAAGTCAGGCCGAGCGCCTTAGTGAGCAACGAGTGTTTCGCAACAGCGATAGACTCACAAGAGCGCACGATGAGTCGATCAAAAATGCAACGTAATTTCGCAGAGACCAGTACTATCTGGTCAGCATGGGTAAGTTACAGGTCCCATTGCGCCACGGGGCAACTAAACTCAGAGTTCAGTTAGGACCCAGATAGGTTTTCATCCCTCGTGCTCCCTCAGTGCCGCAAAAGCACAGAGCACAGGGCCATCTCCAGGCCGCACAAGTGAGACAGGATTAGACACATGAAATAGAGTACTAAACGTGATTAAAGGGCGATTGGCCATCCGACCATAGGCGAGGCTCCTGATTAGACCTCGCTCTTTAAGGTTTTAACCCCAAGTTGGGTCGGTTCTGACGCAGTCCTCTCATTGGCTCCCATTTCGCACTTATGTCCGGAAGTGGGATTGACGTCCCTGACATCGATTTCAGTGCTCATTTGGCATCCATTAGCACTTTGGCTGTGTTTTATTAATGCCTAATTGTTTGACACGTAACCTAAGTGCCAGGTTATACCACAACACTCGGTCGACACACTTTCACAATGATTGTGATGGCACACACACTACACGCCCTGGAACTGTTCAAAGTATAGAGTCTCACCAGTGCATTGGAGCGCGTTGTTGCTCTCATTGGCTAGCCGCATGCCCAGTGACATTCCGATCGCATCCACTTGCCTCACATCCGTGGCATATACCTATATCACGCTCAAGCCTCTTGATCCGAGCAACCACCTATGCAAGGACAGCCGCAAGACTGCTGGTACATGGGGTCTCTTTTACCATCGACATTCGACAACGCAGATGTACTAGCTGTATCATTCGATCCAACGCACCGACCAACTTTTATTGCAATGCAATCTGATCGCTCGCATCATGAATCACAACATCGCGACGTCTTCCATGCTATCTGATCACCGAGTGCCCCGCTGACACAATGCAACCTCCTATAAATATGAACTTCGATAACACTCCGCAATCAGTGATCGATTCTTCACAGTAGTAACTAGATCCTTCGGTCCTCCTGCAATTACCTCGCGCATGTATTCTTACCTGTATTTCAGTCACAAGGCATGTTGTAAGTGAACTGACTCACAACCAGAAAGGAAAGATAACCAGTAAGACTGAAGTCTCTAATAAAATAGGAGCTATTACGCGTAAACTATATAACATGAAAGTATAAGCAAACATAGATAGAACGAAATGGTATCACCTCAGTCTCGATATGGAGAACTGAGGGAGGGAAAAATTGCGGCGTCCAGCGTAACTTATACGACTGGCGCCAATATCGCTTAAAGCGATCGCCAACTGGCGATGTAAGACAAAATAAAGATTGAGAGCGCATGGTACCGCGACTCTGAAACAAAAAGGTATAATCGTTGTCAGTCATGATGATTAAAAAGAAATCTCATCACACCCCAATCCTCGCTGCAGCTCGGCTGTTGTCGATGAGCGTTGATATTCCAACAGTCTCTGCATGAGTAACCGAATAAATTTGGCCAACACCTGCCAATATGAAGACAATCACGAGACCCACCAATTGGTTCAGGCAAGATAGACAGAGGGGCCGAAGGCTCCCTGGCCTTGTCTTGTGAAATAACTGGTGGACGCTGCCTGACGTGGCAGAACCTGCCACTCTTTCCTCGCTGATAACCCTCAATCGGACTGGACAATGTATTTTACCGTTAAAGTGCACATAGAGGGCACAGATTACTCTGCACAGAGTGATACACCCGTGGCAATATTACGCTTTTTTCGACGGTGAAAATTTGTTATCTCTTTCCCCTTTCTTTTCACTTTTCTTACGGTTCAAGGTGTCATTGTGCCATCGGTTCAGTTTGATCAGTACCATCGTATCTGAAGGCCACCATGTATGACCTTCACTCGCTGCCATGGCATCCGGTTTTTGTTATTTTTCCCTGTATCGTGTTGTTGCGAGAAAGATGATTGAGTTCCATTGACGCTTGCAATATAACAACATAGTTATTTGAGAATGGAACAAGTGGGCAGTGCAGAGTCTGGCGAAGGCGAAGCGCAAGTACACTCAATCGATCGGGGAAGTGAGACTGAATTCTTGTAAAATTAGTGGGCAGTCCACTTGAGATGCATGATATCGATTGCAAGCTAAAACGCCCAAAGCACTACATACAAGCTTCAGAACTTCATATGACACAGAGTTGGAACTCAGAAAATCAAATAGGTATCCTGAATAGACATCGCAGTCGGCCCATTGGGATGAGACATTTACGCAAGCGGAGAGGGGACTGTGGTAGCATTCACCATCGAAAATGTGACATAGAAGTTGTAAAAAAAAACAGCGTCGTTGATCGTTAAAGATTTATCATATATTCCATGATCGATACCATCGATCACGACAGCGGAGTCAGACAATGGAGGAAGTAGATAACAAGGAAAACGGCCAACGAAGAGAAGAGGGGTTGGATAGAGCAGGATGGGACGTGAGTGAGATAGTGTGGGAAAGTTCTGAGGTCACATGGCATTCAACACCGTGCGGAGTGGGACCTTTCCCTGATGACTCTCTTATGCTTTTGCACATGACACTGTCATGTATGCATTGAAAGGTGTCAACGTGCCCCTTGGTGGTGTTCCTATGTCTGCCCACAGGTATTCCATTATTTGCCCTTGTGCACAGTAGTCTGTGAAGGCATGTGCTGGTTCCACTGTGATTGTCGCTGCACCACCTACTTTTTTGCTTTGCCTTTAAATAATTTCAGACTCCAAATGACTGGATTGTGTTTGTCCTGAGGTCTGCAAAGCGCAAAGCGCAAGCACTCTACTGTAAATGGGTGCCTCACTGTGACACAAATTTGTGTCACAGGCTCGTTGCTGTCACTGGAATTAGCCGTAGTGACTTACGTACTTTAACATACATCACGTATCTGAGTTCAAGGTTTGGCATACCTTTGGGAGAGTTCAGTGCCCCTACTGAGCTGCCCTGGAACACAGGAAACAAGATGATTCTTGAGGCACTTCCCAACGATATTCTTTGCGAAATCATGGTGCATGGGGCTCTTGAAACCCTACTCAGCCTTTCCCTTGTTTCCCATCGTCTTCATCCTCTTGCTCAGTTATTCCTTTACAAATCTGTTTCAATCGTGGGGAAAGGAGCCCCGGTATTGGATTGCAGGCTTCATCAATTTGTTCGAACTCTCATACTTCGTCCAGATCTGGGCCGCGTTGTTCGCTGTGCACAGATACGCTGGTACCACGTCAAGCGCTCAGAACGTGAGCTTCCAGAGGAAGTGCAAAGAGATGTCCACTTGATACAACAAGCTGCCCAAGAGAAAGGCCTACACTCTCTTGCAATCCCATGGTTTCAATCTGCTTCATGCTATGCATGCTTTGCATTGCTCCTCCATTTGATTCCCAACTTGAACACACTAAGTATTCGTATACCACAATCCCCCTATTCATCCTGTGGCCCCCGAGATCTAACGAAATGGGTTGGCAACAGTATTCCTCCTGGCCTTCGTTCTGTGTCCAAGATTAAGCTCTTCTGGGATGCGTTCAGGATTGAGGATATCACCCCATTCATTTCTCTCCCCAATCTGTCTACTATGTCTTTACGTGGGTTTCTTACCTCTGAGGAGTTCAGAAAGGGGGATGTGCCAGCAAAGCAGTCATTGAATCTGCGATCCCTCATGCTTGCTGTTGAAGGGGATCCATTTCTTCTTAACATCCTCCAATTACCTCGGTCACTAGAGGAGTTTGTATGGGAGGGTGAGATAGAAGATGGCGCACTATTGCACCGGAGTCTTGCATTCCAGTGCCATAGCTTGAAGACGTTATCTATCTCTATCCCATGGAGCGCCCCACAATCATCAACACCCATTGGAACGCTTTCCCATTTCCAGTCCCTAAGAAGCCTTACGATCCCTTGTTCCTTGTTCCATGATCCAAACCACGGAGAAGTAGACCTCTTCAGTCTTCTTCCACCAACTTTGGAACAACTGATGCTAGACATGGGTTGTTGGGATGGTGAGACATCCCTTCGACTTGTTGTTGGGAGGGATTTGGAAGAGTGGAAGAAGAAGCAATGTTTTCACCTTCCGGTGCTCGATGATATTGTTTGGGTGTTTAATTGGACGGTTGATGCAGGATCAGTGGAGAAGCTGGCCCAAATAGGTGTTCAAGTGCAGTTCCCCATAGTACACACAATACAATGAAAATACAGGGAAATCGGAACTTGGATATTGAGGACTAAAATGGCATCTTTCACTGCGTGACACGCCAAATTCCAAGCGGTGTGAAGCGCATTAAATACATAAATAATGCAAAATTGAAACTGAATTCAAGCTGCCTTCGTCTCAACTGTTTACCTTGTGCTCGCTGTCACCCACCTCCTTTCAACATGTATAGCACTTCTTCCTCACCCCCCCGGTTTCCACTAGAGATGCCCACATTCCCTCATCAATCTGATTTATCGTGAGTCACCACAGACCCATCATGAATGCGTCCTGATCTCGATATCTCTGATCAGACAGATTTTGCAATCTGGTCCTGAGGGAAGTGTGGTCAGTACCCTTCCTCATGATCTTGATTGATTCACCAGTTTGGAATCGGTGTTCTGACTTTTAACCCCATTCCACACGCCCTTTTGACATGCACGAAATTCATGCATGCACCTAGAACTTCAGGCTTGCGTACTTTCTGGTCTTTCTCAACGTGTAACTCATGTGTTGACAGCATTCCAGACATGCACTTGCATTGTCTAAGCCTTATCAACTACACGCAACGCAACTCAGGCAAGCACGACTCTGTTGTATTGGTCAACAGTTGAGTTCTCCCTCGGGATGATCCTCCCTCTGGTTCTTGCGGACTATTGGGACTTGCCTGAATGTGTTGGAATTGAAGAAGAGTTGCATATACATGTGATGGACGCAATCACTCACAGTCTTGACCCTGCGACTGTCGCAGATGGTGTGTATCCACATGTCCTCCTCTAACCACATGTGGCGTTCTAAGCAGGCCCAAACCAACCTCAGTACATGTTAGCTACCCTAATCCCCGAGCCCTCCCTGCCAGCATGCCCATATAGCACTCCGCTTGTGGCACATCTAACACAAGTCAGTTTCTTATTTCACACAGCTAATCGTGGCAGCATCATGAGACATGAGTGGTGCCGTGTTATCGCAGCGCTAATGGGATTCTGCAGGCGCTCACCACTGCAAATTTGGGGCTGGCCCCATGTGCAGCTCACGACTAGGTCGGATCATTCCTTTCATCCCTCTGCTCCCCAGTGCTTATCGCCTCGCGTCTGTGCTGGTTTGGACTGGTAAGTCCGACATTGGCAGTGACGCTGGTGACTTATGCGTGCACTTCACACTGCCTGTCTGTGTTTCAGCTACGCACTGCGCTGTGCTTTGGTTTGTGAGTTTTTCACATTCAGCATCCACTCCCTTCGGGAGTCTCACTGCATTGTTAGTACCTCTTCGCTCCCTTGTACGGGCTGTTTAGACTGCATGTATCCAAGGATGTACATATAACTACCCATCCCGCAAATATACGTTTATTTTGCCATTGTGATTCTAATTTTCCCAAATATGTGTGGGTTCAGATTGGGTCTCAATTTCATGCACTTCAATTTTACACATTTAATGCACTTGATCGCTATCAACCCAGTGGCTCAGATTAGTTAGTAATTTGTTTTATGGGGGGCATGGTTAGTTGTGGGGTCTCCGATGTCCTCTGCCATGTCCAAAGGTTTTGCCATGGCCGTGTCTTGCTGGGTAGTGGTAGGGGGCACAGCGGAGTCTGGTTTACAGTCAAGTCAACGACAGGACTCGGGTCAAGTTGGCATGGTGATTATGGATTGGGCATACAGAGTACCGGTGGTCAATGCTTTTGTATGAGTGGCAGAAGACGTGGTTGCCACTGGCCAAGCTGTGGTTGCTTGTGGGGGTGGAGAATGAGGTTTTCCTGAACAGCCAGATCCATTGATTGTGGCTGTTGTTCATGATACCAGGGGTTAAAATCAGGGACTTCGACCAAGGCCGTGCAGAGATACGACATGGCCGGTGGGTCGGTAGTTAGCCAAGTCAATCGTGATGAAACATACAGCTCGGCTCAGGTAGAGTCCTTTGACAAGGAAGCTCCAGGGGTTCCGAATTTGTACAGTGGGGGGGGGGGGGTGGACACAGGGGTGCAACCTGCTAATCAGACGGTGTGAGCGCTTTTAGTGGAGACGGCCGGAGCTGAAGCGGTCCCGGCCTGTGAATTGGCGCGCGTGGGCATTGTGCGACCTGTAACCTTGACCCGATAACCAGGATGGCAGAGGGGTGGATGGTGGTGCAACTAGAGATCAATGATTTGCATGATGCCCATCAAATGCGGAAACACCGGCAAGTGTTCCTTGTAACAAAATCGGATTCTGATGGAGATGGATGTGAAAGGCCTCTGAACTCCAGCGACCAATACGCTGAATATTTGCCAATGGAGTGCCAGCTAGAGCCAGGGCAGTGGCACCGCCAGATCTGAGGGAATGGCCAGCAAACTCCTTGCCTGGAAAAAGGTTGCGCAATCTACCAATGTACCAAGAGCGCGTGTGTGCAAGACCAGAAGCGCGCAACCAAAGTTCTGGCAGATGTGGAAAGTGGAGATCTCGCGATAAAAGATATTGCTGGAAGATGGATAAAGGGTTCAGTTCGTTGAGTCGGCGCTCCAGGACGATAATGGAGCCTTCGAATAGCCGGTCCGCTTTATGCATCGGCAAGACAAAGGACACATGTGGACGAGGTTCTGATGCGAATTTGACTGTTACTCGGCTGATACACTTCCGGTAATCCCGCAAAGACACAACATCTGGGTCAACCAACTCCCCAAGGCGCATCAGGCAATGCCAACCGGTAAAGGTAATGGCAAGGAAAAGGAGATCATCGTGAGAAGGGTGATCAGGCTGGGCTGCTAAGATGGTCCGCAAGTTATCCTCGGTGAGGGGACGCTTCCTACGCTGGAGCTCCTAGTCGCTTGGAGCACCCAGTCAGGATGCGATCAATTAACCCGGAATTGCGAAAGTCACGGACTTCCGGCCAAAAAGGCTCCAATTCAGCGCAAATACCTGAAAGGTAAGACCGGACAGAAGAGGGCTTGATATGGTAACACATGTACACGGTGTAAAAACTTGGAGTATCGAGGGTAGGAGTAATGGGCCATTGATGAAGATTACAAAACGCGATATAAGATGTGAGAGCCGATGTGTAGGTACGTGCGGTACTGCGCTCGAGGGCAGATCCAAGAGCAATAGAACGCTCCACAAGAAACCGCTCCTTTGACCAAGGCTCTCGACGTGGTTGTCTGGCCAAGGAGTGGGACAAAAAGTTCATTTTTGAGACGCCCCCAGCTCTTTCAGCGGAGGCGTAAAGAATCGGATTACTAATTTTGGCACCAAGGACCGCGCACGGGTGAAATTTCGACGAGAGAGAGCATCAGCCACCTCGTTTCGCTTTCCTTCAATTAAGAACACTCGAAGGTCAATACCATGGTCAATGCGGATACCGACTGCCGACATGAGAATCGGGTTATAGGTAGGGCCGGCCCGAAGGGAGTTTAAAATGTCAAGTGAGTTAGAAGAATCGGTAAAAATTGCTACGCGCTTGGGGCAGGGATCCAATGTAGAGGACCATTGTAAGGCCGCGAGAATGGAGATGGCCTCATTAAAGAAAATGTTGAATGATCCATCAGCATCAAATACCGGATCACTGACGAAAGCTGCCGAGACTTTCAGTGCCCAAAAAGCCAAGCCTAGTTTACTTGCATCACCCCAGACCTGAATGTCGGCTTCTTTGGCACTCCAAGATTCAGCAGAAAGAACCCACACTCCTTCCAGCCTCTTAACAGAATCAACAAACCATGACAGATCGCGTCGGACGGACACATTAATGTAGATCCCTTGTGCCATAATGGTTTTGCCGGCTATTTTATCATAAGAGGAGTTAAGTGCCGGCTTGAGTAAGGGAAACACGTTCAAAGCCCAATTAGCATAACCAAGGATCCTCAGCCAGGTCCGAAGTGGCTGTCGTCGACTCTGGCCAGGGGTATTATTGAGAAAATCGTGAACGGCATCAACTAGATTGTCTTTTGCTTCACTTGTGATAGAGATGGTGAGCTCCCGCGCGTCAAACATGAAGCCAATGATCTCCAACTGAGGACCATAAAGTTGTTTGTTGTCCTCATGAGGAACTCCAATTTCGTCAAGCAGGTGCAAGAAAAGTGCCTGGTCAGTAGGAAGGAGACGATTGTATGGCTCGTAGAGGACAAGGTCCCCATCGAAATCAGCATTGAAAGCGTCATCAACATAATGGAGCATGTCCCGGATCCCTAGGACATGCGTTGCAATCCAGCAGACCAGACCAAAGAACAAGCACCATATACGTCCTGAAGCGCGATTCCCGAAAACAGCACAACGATCGACGTGGTATTCGTTGCCAATGAGAGTAGCTTGACGAGTTTGCCAACGTGGGTGCATCGGGAGGCGTCGGTATGCCTGAGAGGCATCTGACTTCCAAACTAACTTGGGTGCCACCCCCCATTTCCTCTCATAACGGCACGAATATTTGACGCAAGGTCAGATAAGTTGTCGAGGATTACAAATCCTCCATCCGCAGGAATCAGGGAATTTAAAGACTTCTCACCCGCACTATGGTCGTTAACTAACCACAACTTCATACACCCTTTCTTCGGAACGGTAAAGATTGGTTGTGCAACCATTCCGGGTAAGAGAACCTTTCCGAAAGATGGGGAATAGCGATCGAGTGACATCTCAAGATCATGCTGTCTGTTTAGAAAGAGGCTAGATTCCTCATCTAAATTGGGTGAACCATGAGGGCGCAAGACAACCCCACTGGGAACCAGACGGTAGCGAGTATATGTGGGCTCCTTGAGGGAGCACCTGGCGTCTGCTAACGGGACTTGGCACTGGAGCGTGCCGAGTGGGTGTGCTGGAGTGTTTGCTAGGTGACTTGCGCCAATGGAGCGTACTGTAGTGAGGATACTGGACTCCCAAAGGGAGTCACCAGTTGGTGGCTATCGGTGACTTGGCGCTCATGGAGCATACGGTAGCGGAGTTGTTGGGAAAGCAGGCTGGTGGACAGTGCACGGTAGTGGTGACCGTGGAAGTGGACCATGGTGCGTGGCCAGGCATCCTGGAGCTGCCTGGACCGTATCCTTCTCTGAGAGTGGATAGGCTACAGTTCCTGATAGGGAACTCTGGTTGGATGGAGTAACCACTCAACCCGGTGACTGGTGGAGTGGCAGCAGAGTTGGCGTGGGAATGCCCTCCTCCTGCGGTTTTGTCATGGAGAGGAGGAAGGATCGTCAACGTTGGCGAAAGGCCAGAAACCATAGCGTAGTCCTTTGCACATAGACTGAACCAGTGGGCGGTTCGGGTGTGAAGAAAGGAGCTCCTCAAAACGGTCAGCATTGATCGGAGTAACAACCTTGAACAGGTGAGAGTGTGATTTGAGTGTTTGCGTAATGTCGTGAAAACGGAAATCACTGGAAGGAACATCCGGGAGGGGAGGCGCGACTTCAGTGTATGAGGCAGAGGGTGTTCGAGTGAAGTCGTTTCTCCCAAAGATGAATCGCATGTATCGCGGTCGCTTTCCCAGAGGTTCACTATCGCCAGGCTCAGTTCTTTTCTTTCGCTTTCGAGCATTCGGTTGCCCCATGACTGATTGAGAAACATGACTGGCATCTGTGGTTAAATCAGCAGTCGGTGCGTTTACAGCCTCCATGTTTGTTGAACTCGTGACAGATTGGTAAATCATTGAAGTTGGCAGGGCGCTTTCGTTTCTGACCGGTCTTTGGACGAGACTGGCCATCGCCTCTTTGATTGAGTCCATTGTTCCCAGCTCCACTGGCGTTGAGTCCACTCCCCTGGGTAGTTGGGTTCGGTGCGAGGTAGAGTTCAAGGAGGGTTGGGAGGATAGTGTGCAAATCGTCGAAGGCAAGCCCGGTGTTACCGTGGAAGAACTTCCGTGCCGCTCGATCGTACTCGATGTTGAGAGCGGCATTGGGATGGCTATTGAATCGTTCAATGATGTGGTCGTGATAGACTTCGAGTTCTTGCATTCGGTGCGGGAAGGCCCAGAGAATCGCCGTACGATATTTCTTCCATGCATAGGTCCACTGCATCGAGTTAGTGAGTTTCGTTTTACTGACGGACGGACCTCCGGTTGATACTTCAATCCCTTCACCGATGACGACACTGTCGGAATATCGCATTGTTCGGGTGTGTCTTTCCTCAATGAGAGCCCCGAAGTCGAGAACGTCCTTCCAGAGGAAAGGGGGGAAGTCAGGCTGTCCTCCTCGTGCTTGGAGACTTCGGATGGCGCGTTTGATGTTAGCGTCGTAGATGTTTCGAAGTCGATGTGTCTTTTGAGCCGTGGAGAGGTAACGTTCCTCTGAGTTTGTCCAGGGTGGACCTCCTCCCGGAAAACGCCAGTTCCAAGCATACTCCCCTCGGTGGTCATCTTCCTCATCTGCGACACGTTTGAGTGGGTTTTGATAGCTTTTTGAGAGGAGACGGCGGATTTTGGATGGTGGTTGAAAGATATTGACTCCTCCCGAATCGGGAGACCCAGGCAAATCATCAGGGCTTGATTCGTGAGCCCCATCCGCTCGAGCAGCGGTCTCGTCTCGCCTACTTGGTTGCTCACCTCGCGATCCTCTAACTCCAGCTTCTGTTCGGGAGCGAGCTGCGACCTCGAGTCGGTCTCCGTACCTCTTCGAGGTGTCTGCACGTTGGGTGGTCGTAAGGTCTGACTCTGACTCCAACCGTGCGTTGACTGCATTGTACGCTTCGAATATGGACGATTTCTGGAGGTTGTAATCGGCGAGGATCTGATCGAGGTCTTGCAGGAGCGAATCGAAGACACCATCTCTTGGTTGTTCCAGCGGGACTTGTTGTCCCTCGGAGGGTCTGTCAGCAGGGACTTGTTGGCTCCTGGAGGGTCGGTTAGCAGAGTCATCTTGGCTCATTGCCGATTGTAACTTAGGTGTAACTTGACTTTATGATGATCGACGATCCAACCCTGCATATTGGATGAGTCGGGGGATCTGAGGCATTTGGCCACTTCTCTGGCAGGGGTACTGCCAAAGGTTGCATGTATGGGGGAGCTGTCAACCATGGGGTCATCTTCCTCATTAAAGTTAAGAGGCAGTGGGGGAGGATTTTGGGGATTGTTGAGGTTTGGCTGTGGAGAGATGAGGAGAGATGTTTGGTACTCTTCAAGGTGGTTTTTGTGGGACAAGAGGTACTACGGTAGTTGTACTTTGTGGCACCGCCAGCCTAATCCTTTGCGGGATTACCCTGGTGCTGAGGAACTGCGTCCAGGTGCACCCAACTCCTGGTCCTGACCCGAAAGTGTTACCGTGGTTGCATGCCAGCACTTCCTTCCATTTAGGAAGCAGTGGTCCCAGTGTGTTTCATCTTTCTTGTGTGTCATATTTCACGTGATGTTCGACACCATGTCGAACCGATATATATGGCATTGCACTTATTCTTCAACAACCTTCTGGTGGAGCAGGATATGCAAATAATATGACAAGTCAGTGGCCATAAGGGATTTCCAACAATTGATGTATTTCTTAGTTTAGTGCAACACAGCGTACTGTTGTTCACAAACAACACAACCAAAACACAACGAGGGTAGCTTAATAATAGTGCTTAGTGAACAACAAGAACATGCAGCGCATTCTGCTTTTGATTGCAAACCAAATCATAACATGTTGCACTAAGAACTCCCTCGATGTTGTGTTCGTGAGCAAGCCTGATGTGCAGCAAAATATAATATACCAAGCTACTATGTGGAGTAGTGTTCTTAAAGTAGTAATATAACCTTTATGGTTGAGTTGCGAACGGAAATTATCATTGCCTTAGTGTGCAGGCATACTAGTGCTCAAGAACAGTAATACAACCAACCAGTGGGAGAGACATTGTGTGACATTAGAGAAGGTGTGACAGAAATTTCTGTCACAGTGGATTCAATTGTGGGCACGGTATTCAATGGCACTTGCCGAAATTTTTTCTCTATTGCACATTCACAACCCTCCATGGCATCCAGGGAAACAACACCTTCAGATCTGGGTGAAGATCTCCAGCCCATCAGGTTCCCAGCATATGTCAGAAAGGCATTCAGATTGGATTCTGTCAGAACACCAGGGGGGCTGAACATCCAATTTGAGCAACTCCTTTTAGAAGGCAAGAATGATGATGGCAGATATTACAAGCTTGATACTGCAGACATGAAAACCAACCTGTCTGGTGATGATGCAGGCATCTCCCTCCACAGGGACTTTGACTCTATCATTGGGTTCTATCAGGGGTTGCCATTATTCGACAGTGTGGAGCTTTCCCTTGTCCCTCGTCCTATGGATTCTCTCTCTGGTTCCACCAATCTGCATGTGAAGCTTCCAGATCATCTATTCGAGATTGTGAGCCTTAGTGTCATTCATACTCTAACCCTTACAACTCACTTCCATCCAGAACTGTGAACCTGGGGACCATGTGACAGCACCAAATAAGATTGCCAACTATTGCCTTGGCAATTATTCAAAAAATGGCCTCATTAGAATTTTTTTCCCATACTTCACCCCTTCCACAACCCCACCTGGCCCAACCCACACAAATAACACCAACAACTCCAACAATACCGACAATGACAACGATGGCAACAACAACGGCAACAACAACGGCAACAACAACAACGGCAACAACAACAACAACAACAGGGTCAGCGAGACTTATATTGCGGAATTCTACGATGAAATCCTGCGTCCAGCTTTGATTCATATCCTTCCACATTCCTCGCCTTCATTTCCCCCTTATCGGCTCTTGGGTGGCATCCTCTCCCGCACCAAGGATGGCAAGCTGGTGGGTGGGAAGCGTCTGGTTTCTGCTGCTCTGCTAGGTGAACTGGTGGAACATATGAGAGATTGCCTGGAGAGGAAGAAGGAACGCTTCGAATGGGCTCGCAGCTTCTTCTTTGGCCTTGAGATCAAGGGAATCAAACTCAGCACCACACATCCTGTCCCTTTTAACAATGGCACAGAGGAAGGGCAGGGTTCCAGTGAAGAGGATCAAGAGACGATCTTCAGACAACTTATCCTGGGGATGTTTCACAGTGGACTCACATCTCTAGAACAGCAAAGCACGTGGGTGGATGTGGGGCTCGAAATAAGCAGGAAGGCCCATGTTCTTCACTGGGATGCATCAGAGCACCACCGAATTCTTCAGGTCCTTGCCACAGGGTATCAGGGGGATGTGGAAAGACAATGGACACAGCCTGGAAGGGAGGGGTATTTCTGCGACATTCAAGCAGGAATCCTATCTCTGGCTGGAGGACGTTGTGCATTGCCTCATCTCCCCCGCTTACCCATTTATGCACAATGGTATGCGTCGGAGAAGGGGGTTTGTAGGAGAGCTGACAGGTTTGACCCTATGCTGGGAATCACGAAAAAGAACGTGTTTGGAGAAAAAACCAAGGATAAACTGAGAGTGGAATTCGATAATCTGGAGGAAGTGTGGAATTCAGCTCATCATGAGAGGACGGAAGGGACGGCAAGATTGGAGATACGCGTTCCCCTTCGAAAAGCCAAAAATTCCCTGAGAACAGTGACAAAGGAGTTCATCGAGCAGTGCACCATCTCAGTGCCTGCAGATCGGTGGTGGTGAGTCTGAAATTGCTGGAATATGGAAGTGGCTTACTGTTGAAACTAGGCTATTCAAGCTTCTGATGGCTCGTGCATGTCGTCAGGTCATTGAGGCTCAGATGAATGGGACCCCCCGGTCTAGACTGGCACGACATGCTCTGGAGCTCAGTGCTGCACTCACATGGCGGATCAACATGCTGAACAGGAGACCAGCAGCAGGTTCATCAGAGCACCAGCTCATGTGTGCTTCCCTCCCTGTCACCGACAACTTCTCCCACCCAGATCTGTTAGATGGACGTGACAGGAATCCATGGAGGGCGCAGGCGGAAAATGAAGAATACCGCCCATTTGCCTCGGGAAATGTCATCTGGTTCAGGGACATCGATTACAACCTGAACATGACAGATGATTGGCATAGGCCAATTTCCCCTGGATTCAAAGCACGAGCCACACTTGGATTGGGACGGCGTCGGCTACTGCTGGATCGGTATCTCAAACACCTCTCCGGCTTTACCATCGACGAGCTCGAAAGAATACTTTCAACTACCCCCTACATCACACCACCTGCTCCTTTCCGTCTACCAAGACCTAACCACACACTTCCACCAGATCTGCCGGAATCACTAGATGAGCTGCTAGCAAATGCTCATATCAAATTGAAGGAGAGCGCTACCAAGCACCTGAAGGATTCTTTCCCCAACTCGGATAACAGTGATGGGGTCCCTCAGCTCGTTCAAGGGACCACAAACCTGGTATTGACCAAGAATATCCAGCAGATCCTCGACTTTTACTTTTCCAACGTGCTGCAGACCATCCCTGTCCCCCAGACGCAATCCCCAGAGCTGTTCTACCATACTGTCCGTAATCCAGACAGTCCAGTTGCACACCCTGGTATAGGGTACTTTAAAGAACCTGATCTTTTCCGCAGTGGATTCACCGGAGCTCACATCAGGAAGCGCAACCCCCCAGAGTTCCATGTAGCGTTCCAGCTCTCTTTCCCACCAGCTGACCTGAAATGGGAAGAAGCAAGGATGAAGGGGACATACAATAGGGAGAGGAGAGGAGGCCAACCCATGAGATATGGGGATGAGAGAGAGCAAGGGTTGATAGAGTACAAAAATGGTGGTAGGGGTTGGAAGCGGCATTCGTTTCATGCTGCCTGGTGGGAATTCATCCAGAGATTCGACTATACTGGTGGCGATCGTATTAGGGAGAAGGTCTGGAAGAATGTGTACTCCAAACTTGTTTGGGCACCCTATTCTGACCTTTCACGAATGTGGTACACAACATCCAACGCCAAAAGTGCAGAGACCTTCCCTGCAGATATGGCAGGTCAAAGGCTTCCCATAATCATTCTCAATCCTTTGATCGATGATAAGGCTATGTGGGATGGATCTTTGATTAGGAGGAGGGAATGGGTGTCACCGACCCTGTAGCACGAAGCCTTGTCTTATCATTATCATTATTTGTTATATTATTTGTTATAATTTTGCCAGTTTCAATTTCATTTTTCATGATCGGAGAGTGGGAGAGCCACTCTGGCCTTGGGGCCCCAGGGAAGCAAGACAGGGGCCAGCTGGATCGTAGTGGGGTCCCAAAACTCAGCTAAATAGTCGAAAATGTTTGTGAAGGTGAAGAGCCCCAGGGAGATTCAGTCCGTGCATCCAACCCACCTATCAAGATTTCATTCACAACGAGGTGCTCAGTATACAACGAGTTTTGGTCGCTTGCAAACGTGGGGAGTGGACGATTCCCATGTCCACACTCACCCCACCTTTCTGCCTGAAAATCCTGACATCCATGTGTGCGTTTCGGCGGCAAAATATAAGATCGAAAGAGGAGAATTAGGCTTATTTTTCTGCCGAGTTTCATACCAAACGGTGCAGTATTGACAGAGATATGAGGACACTCAACACCATGTCGAATGCACGTGCCTATCTCAAGATCCACCAAGCCAAATGGGATGAATGGCATATCAGCACGAAGCTAGAGTCAAGGAGAGTCCAATGGAGACGATGGGAAGGTGTTATATACATTGATTGGGAGGGACAACGTTGTGAGGACAAGTCCGTGCATGGCAAAAAGTCGGATTCTGCGGATTCTACCCAACAATGCACAATACATAACCGCGGATGCTTCCATTGCTCGTTTCCTTACTATCCAACACTCCATACACTCATTCCTTATTCTTTCCTTATTTTTCCCAACATTCCTGACAGTCCCAAGTCAATTTCCCCACGCCCAACCACACCGCCAATTTCACCCCCTCCCCAGACCTCCATAACCACACATTAAACCCAGCGGTTTTTCTACCCGTTGGTGACGATCTACCTTCCCCCTTTGCCCACGGAGCATTTCCCAGAGTGGAAATCCCATACGTGGATGGTTCAGCATGGTGTAGAGCCTCACGTGGTCTTGACAGCACCTGTCAATGGCCATATCTCAGGAACTACTGCACCAATTGGGACAAATGAGGGTTCGTTGAAAAGCTGGAGACGAGGAGGTTGCTGGCGAGAGGATAGGCGGGCGGTGTTGCGGAGTTAACTTTTACAATTTCCGTCTGGGACCGTTGTCACAATTTCCCCATTCATATTTCTTTTATTGTTTCTCTGTTCCTAATTGGACATTAGAAAATACCTTGTACATGTACACAACAAGTTAGCAATGAATAGACCCATGAAGGAGTAAAAAGTAGTTACATCCAAGTGGCAAAGACGCCATCCACGACCCCATGCCCCCCCTGAGCTTGTTGCTAACATCTAACACCCCTCTACTCATAATCCTCGGCCTTGACATCCAAGAGAGACATACGTGAGTGTTTAGTTGAGGCTCTAGTAGACACGGTAGCGCCCCAAGACCAAAACCCGGACCTCCCAACCACATACACAATCACTACCACCCTCCCCCTTTTCTCTGTCTCGAGTCTAGGTGATAGAGCCGTTACAGCGCCAAGTCAAAACTTGCATGCCCAACATTCATATTAGGAGAAAGGTCAACGCATATCTTGCGCATGGACACATGATCTACATGATTGTCCGTCATTCCTTTCTTGATCACTCTTTCCAGCCGCATCATAGAAGGCTTAAAAGCCTTAATTTTTTGCCCTTGTCTCTCCCTCAGTTCGCTTGTTCAGAACTGAGGTGAGCTTTCTTGTCTTCGCTGACTTAGTCGATGACTAAAAACCTTGTAAATATCCTAGCGCTTACAACGTGCTAGGTAGATAAGCAATTCATTTTAGTTGGCTTGTTCAGAACTGAGCACTCGCAACGTGCTAGATTCTCACAATTCATCCCCTCAAATACCATTGAAACCTGTTCACTCTCTAGACACTGGTGATGTCAACCCACCCTCCTAATCCAGGGAGTATCGTCCCAAATGGAACATCCTTAGGCTCTGTTCGGTAGAAAGAAAGAAACTGCTTGTGTCGGGGCATCCCGTATGTACCTATACCGTTATTTTTTAAAATGCCATCATATACGATAAACATCGCATCTAGTATCAACAAAAACTTATCGCTCTATCGGCACCATTCTCATTGCTCCACGGAAATCCTGACTGCTCTGAAAGTCTTTTGATGGCCCAGTATATCTGTTTTAACTATGGCGGAGATATAGTCAGTGGTCTGATCAGTCACTCATCTCATACTCACCTTGCCATACTTATTACATCGCTTGACACAGTCCCGCATCTGTCATATCCAACATTCCGACCTCCGCTCCGGCTCCCAGACTCCAACCTGACTTCCGGAACCCTACTCCCTTCCATCACCTCCTCCTTGCCGACTCCCAAGAGGTTATCCCACCTCCGGCTCTGACACCACCTTCGGTCCGACTCCGGAACATTCCGGGTCCGACCCCAACCTCGACACCTTCCAGACGAGTACGCAAAACCTATGCTCCCGACTCCGGACCTCCGCTCCGGTATCCCGTTCACGTCTCGTCTCCAGAACCTCTGGTCTTAGTTCCGACCTCGGACTTTGACCCCACCTCCACTTATACCCATTGTATTGGTTAGCTCATTCCATTTAATTACCTTTGCCAATATTCCGGAGTTTAACCTCCGAGTTCGGACTTTCCGGACTTACTCCGGACCTTGCAACTATTGCATTGTCCATTTCAATTCCGCTATTCTCCCTCATTCCTATTTGGGCTGCTGCTTCCTTTCTATTCAGTCAGCTAGCCATTCCCGACTCCCATCCTCCTTCCTTCCTTCTGGGGCCTTGGCCCTTCATTCCTCCTTTGGGAAACACCATTGAGTCAAACACTTGACCCTCGGTGTTGTTCCCCTTTCCATCTCCCTTTGTCTCCTTTTGTCCTACCCTTGTTCCTTTTGATTCCGGACCCCTCCTTATATACAATGTACCTAGTAACTTGTAACCTCAGTCCGAAATCGACATGAATTCCCCCAAGAGACTTTCCCTCTGCTAGATCCGAAATTAGGGACCCCTAGGACAACCAGCAATGGCACAGCGCTCCACCTGAGTCGCTGAGGCCAAGGTCCTTCCATGCTAAGTCTCCGATTCCATTCCGGAGTCGTCCGAGTCCACCCATTCTAACACATTCCTCAGTTAAGTGTGCGGAAACTGAGTTCCAAACCTTGTCTTTGAACCCAATATTCGAGGTGCCACCTGCACACTTAACTTCAAGAAGGGAGTGGATGAGCTCCGCTTCCTCATGCGATTTCCAAACAGCACACTTGGAAGGTGGGTTTGTGGATTCCCCCTTGGCCCGGGGTGTACGACGTTGTTTGTTATCGAGGGATGGGTATTGCCAAGATCAGCATCCATACTTGCAACAATAATTCACGCTTAATTTACATGTGTGAGGTTTATAAGACAAAAGCTGTAGCAAGAAATGACAACGAAACCGGCATGCTGAACACTCGTCAGTTTCTTCTCGTTTCTTGACGAAAGTGGCAGAAGAAACAAGAAAGAATCAGTCACCTTTTGAATGAAGACACAAAAAGAAACAGGTTTCTTTCTACCGAACAGAGCCTTAGTATATGGGTGGTTCGACATGGTGTTGAACCTCACATGCTCTCGACAGCACCTGTCAATGAATATCTCATGAACTACTGGACCAATTGGGATGAATGAGGTATCATTGGAAAGCTGGAAACGAGGAGAATTATGATGGTAGGCGAGGAGAGCGCCATAGAGGAGTTACCCTGCAAGGTCACTTTCGAGTCCGGAATTCCTTGGCATTTTTCCCACCTCCAGCAATGTCACCTTGCTACTTGGTCTCTTGCACTCACCCTCTCATTTGATTGCTTTGGTCGTCCCTGCAAAGCCATGCTTTTATGGAAGAATCGGTTTCTCTTTGGCATTCTCTACATTTAGCCTGGGCATTACGAGATCTATCCAAGATAAATACACACTCTCATGATAAGAGAGGAACATCACTCTATGCAACAGTGTCTAGCTGCAAGTCTGCACCTAACAATTATTAGGGCTTATATGCAGGGACAGTCCTATACTTGCCCTCACCGACATACAGCATTCCTGTTGCTTCCCTTCTTGGTGTTCTTGGGGTGATCAAATAAGAAATTGTTGCGAGAGTGACGAACTCTGGGATCGTTGTTCATTTGGGGATGTGCACCTGAGATCTTTGTGCCTGCCTGAGTGTTTTGGCTAATTCTCCTTGTTGTACATTAGTCTTTGAAACTCAGGATGTTAGAATTACTAGGAAACAGAACCCCTGCAGAGCTTTTCTCTTGCTGGAACTTTTCTGTCAATTTACTGTGATTCCTTTGTTGGATCTGTCACTCAGGCTTTCTGAGAAATAATTCTTTTATTTAAGTTGACTTTAGTCGATCCCTGTAAGGCCTGAGAAGGCTGCACATGCTTTCCCATTTTATATCTTGCTGAGATCGCACGCAAAAGCATGCTTGTTTACTATTTACCAAGCCGCATGCATTTGCCAACTCCATGTCATGACCCGACACATCCGTCACATCCATCAACACGCCCTGGTGCCACTGGCCTGTCCCACCCGCTAACATCATCATCCGTCCATCCGTCCATCCGTCCACCTGTCATCGTCATCCACACTTCCTCCCCCGCATGCATATGTACCTCCCAACCAAGGTTGCCTGCTCGAGTGGTTCTTTGTTGTCCGCCCGCCAACCGGACAGCTTGCTAGACGGCTGGATGGCCTTTTCTCTTTTGTTTGCTTGCAGACTATTGTTCCTCCTTTGCCACTCGTTGTTCTTGCTTGCCTTTTGTTGACCAAGTTTGCGGATATTAACTATTTGTCTCTTTCTTCATTCATTAATATTGCGCTTGATCTGCCACTCCTTTCAGGCCAGCCCATTTAGTTACTTGTGCTTATAATGTGTGTAGGTTACACCGGATGTACCTCAGTTCGTATATTGACTTGGATTTCCCCCCCTAGTCTCTTCTCTACATCGTAAGGCTTCTGTCTGAAATTGGGACAAC